AGGATGGTGGGGAGAGAAACACCCGACCTGCTCACCCACGGGGGCCACCCAATGGATGAGCACCGGTGACGTTTCGCCTTGGCCGTTTGTTGCATCAATCTATTATCTCCAGAATTCCTAATGCAATGATTTGAGGAATAGTTTCTGTTCACTTTAATGGGATTTGGAAGGGGAGAGAGAGGCTTTATAACCTTTCATTAGAGTCCCAATCTCTCTGTAACACTGCAGAAGGCTTAGGAATTTCACTTGAGGGTGGTGGGCATCACCAGCCTCGTGCCATTTCTTTAACCTCTGTATAACATACGGTTTTTAGGCGTATATGCTCATGCATATAGACAGCGTACCTCTAAGCGGCTGGTACAAAATACCTAAATACATAACAGATGCACAGTGGCACTATAGACTGGATGTATTATGGCCCCAAACCATTATCACACCCCTCGCAGTTGCATTTTATTTTTTTCACCTGCTCCCGTGTAGTACACCTGTGACTTGTTGGCAGTGAACGGCGCTGCAGTGGGGGAGACTCCCAGCTTGACTGCCTGGCTTGGAGCTTTGCTCCATCATGTGCTGCCTTTCTGTGTGTGTTTTTTTCTCTCTGTCTTTATATAGCTTGTAAGAGTTCTTTGAACTGCTGTAAGTGATCATCTTTCAAGCCTGATGCTTTCCTTCTTGACACAGTGCTCTGAAAATGGAGATTGTCATGCCAGTGTTTTCATAATAATGCATGTAGAAAAACAGAGAAATATTCATTGTAGATGTCCTGCACAAATGGCTTGATCCGCATCCAGAGGACAGGCAGGGGGTGTCCCTGGGGAAGATCTGGAGAGCAATCAGTATCTACACGGACAATAATCAACCGTTCTTTGAAATCTTTTATTTCCTGCAAAACCCGTCGCCCAGTTCTTTGGTCACAGACACTTCCACAAATGGTTCATTTGGGGATTGTGCAGCCAGTAGAAAATTCCACTGAAACACTGTGACAGCCCTGAGGCTTGGGGTAGTTGCATTTTTCCCCCTGACGTGGCTAACGGATTTGCTATCCATTTTGCATGATTATTAAGAAAAGAAAAGAAGAAATTTTCCAACCTTGTCCTATAAATAAGCTGTGACTTACTTGATCTTGACAGGTGACTTAGTGCTGCTGTAGAGTTTTCCAGCTGCAATAATGTCTCAGAATGATGTATTCAGTGGGGTATCAGCTGTGAGCCATGCGGAAACCAGGGGGCCTAACAGGAGCTGGGAAGAACCATTTTTACTGTTCAGCTTCCAAATTATGTCCTGCCTCCTGCCGGCCCCACATGCGTGTACGGCTGGCCTTGTGAGCAGGTAGGCTTGTGCAAACACACACACACAAGCACGCCTGGAGAGCCTTCGTTTCTCTGGCTGCTCTATTTTCCTGTGGAAATCACCGTTAAGATTTTTTATTTTTTTTTTAAAAAAACTATGATTTCTGGAGCTGAAAAATCATGCCTGAGCCGTTTCCTGCCAGCCCAGCCTCCTGCTGGAAAGGTGGGTGACGTTTCCTTAGGCTATTTGGGTGGAAGCATCCCTGTAGCATCACACATTTCCAAACGCTGGCTCCCTTCTGGCCTTTATGGCTTCATTCTGCCGCCTGGAACAGCCCAGCCTAGCATCGGGGTGAAGGCTGTTCCTGCTGAAGCACAGGGCGTTCACAGGATTTACTTATTTTTCTACTTAAATGCCAGGATTTGCTTATTTCTCAATCGCTCTGGAAATGTGGTCAGCCAGGGGGATTTTCAGTGTCTGTAGGCACACACGGAGGTGCCTGGTAAAGTTATTTGATAAAGCACGGGTCAAATATGCAAAACACAGGTGTGAGAGAAGAGACATAAGCACTGAACATCTCGGACACTTTCTGACATCTGCAAAGCCCAGTTCCAATCAGCTGCACACGCACGGGGCAGAGGGAGTAGAAGCAAGAAGACAAGACATGACAGTTGCTGGTAATAGCAGACAGGTTGCCAGGCTTCTTTTGGAAATCCTGTTTGTGTGGTCTGAAATACATTTTAATAGGTGAGAAACCTGTATGGGTTGCAGAGGATACGGGCAGGCTTCTGTGGGTCTTCTGAATGTGCACCAGTGGTGGTCATGGAGTATTTGCACATGCAGGAACCTGGTGGTCCAGTGTTCACCAGCACTTTGGGGCACAGGACTTGCACGTTTGTGCCCATGGCTTCTGCAGGGTCTGCTCTCTGAAGGGCAGGGGCAGGATCTGGAGCACACGGGCTCTTGTGTCCATAGGTGTTAGAGATACATCTGGGAGGTCCTGTATAAAATGTGGCTCGATTTATTAACTGCTGGGTCTGGGGACTAGTCACCATCTCGATTGCCAGTAATGCATGCAAGGGGAATAAATGGTATATTCCCAAGATATTAAGACAAAATCATGATTTGCATATGAAAAATGTTTGGGATTTTGGGGATGGTATATTCCCAAGATATTAAGACAAAATCATGATTTGCATATGAAAAATGTTTGGGTTTTTGTTTTTTTTTTTTAACTGATAGCCCTATGGCATGGCATTTCTCAGCTCCAACCTGACCCAGCTCCGAACGGCTGCAGCGTTTGTGTACAATCTGTTTGTTTCTTTCTGTAAACTCTGCTCACAAACCCAGTATATTCCTTGTATTAGGAGCGTTCAGAACATATTACTAACCTATGTTTGAGGAGGGAGGGCTCACAATGAAAGCTTCATTATCAGATTTAGAGCCACATACCATTCCTTTATTGACCTGCCTGGTGTAATCAATGCAGCAGCCACACAAGTTTGAAATCATGTTCCCTGACTGTAGACCGTGCGTCATGCATCTAGTGCTGATTGTGCATTATCTCTTAAACGACACCGCCTAAATAAGTATGGATTTGTCTACCACGAATAGCCCTCCTTTCGATTTGAAGACGGTAAACCTTTTGCTTTTTTTATTGATATTCAGGACGACCTAAAAATAGAACTGTAATGAAGTGCACAAGAAGTGGCCATTGTTAAAATGCCGAGGAGTGTGTCTGAGCAGAGAGTGGGCTCTGTACTCTTTCACGTTTCCAAGCGTTCCTGGGTAGGCTTGGTGCACCAGCTTCTCGTCGGTGCTGCCACTGGGTTTGTAGGGCTCCATCCATCCTCTTCCATAAAGTCGTTATTTGACTTGAGACTAATATCCAGCACCGCACAGGGCATTCCTTACTATGGCCAGGAAAAATTCCACGTAGAGCAAAGTAAAAAAACGTTGGATTTTATATTTGGTGATGTCTGAATTGTCTGGAAGCAAAGGAATTTCAACTGATTCCCTTGACGTTACTCGAGTGTGATGCTTTATCCCCTGATAAGCTTCCCGGGTCTTGGCACTGGACTTGTGGCTTTTGATTCGGAAATATTTACCGTCACAGACTGGGCTGTGCTCAGAGGGCTAGTGTTATACTGAACACCGACCAGTTATTTTGTGATCTGGTCAGTCGGTTACATTTAATTTCACAAGGGCCCCTTCCAGCCACGATGCTGCTGCTGCTGCCTCTGAAACCTTCTTCCACAGCAAGTCCCGACCCTTCTCCTGCGGAGTTTCCTCGCTGCCCGCCCGCCGCGGTTATGGCAGGGAACTTTTGCCGTGATTTAGGAACTCAGCAGCACTTGTGACACCTGGTGGTCACTTTTTGGGAATGCAGAGTCCAGAAATGCTCCTGCCTGCAAATTGGGGTCACCGCCGCCTGGCCCCCACACCCCAGGCTGCCCCTTAGCTCCTTCCACAGACGGTTTTCATCAGGGAGTTGTCATCTCCGGATAAAGCAGAGGATCGTGCTTTTTCCTGATCAAGATGTCACCGTGGATAGCGTAGAAGGACCAGATGATCTATGAAAAGTTAAAATATCTTACTTTCTTTTAAAGCTTTGCGATGGTAAATAAGTAATTGGATTCAAAATTCATTTTGTGTTTAAAAACTTATTCTTCAAGCTGGTGGACTTGCCCAGCTCTGTTATTAGGCAGATGGAGAGTAGTAAATTGCCTAGGCTTGAAATAATGCAAATGGATTTTTATACTTGGGGATGCTAGGGACTCAGCTCGAGAAAAGCTCACCACGAAGCACATCTCTAGTTGCTGAAATAGTTGAATAATCACACAAATGAAGCTGAGTTTGTATGTAGGACTGGGTTTCAGTCAGCACACAAAATGTAGGTGAACTGGTACTGCTCTAAAAATACGCTTCCAAGGTTGGCTTCACCATTTATTGGCTCCTGCACAAATGGCAAGGCAGGTCAGCATCCTCTGCTGCGAGGTACTGTGATGACACAAGGCTATTACAAATCTACCCAAAGGAAAAAAGGATACAAAAAAGACTCTCTAAACTGCTGAAAGAAATATGTAGAGCAAAGTCTGTTTTTTAAAGGGATTTAACTTCTGGGTTGTGTGTCCAGCCTGTTTTTTTTTCTGCTGGGTATATTACCCTGGTGCCTGGACTGGCGGTTCAGCTGTTATTGCCGGAGTATTTCTTGGACCGAGAAGTGTGTGTCACAATCTGGTGTCTCTTGCTGCCAGTACTTGCACCCGGTGCTAGTGAGAATAAAAGAGTAAAATATGGCAAGGGTTCTCCCCGCCATTCAGATATATTTTTTTTAATTGTTACAGTTAAGGGAATCCCTAAAGGCAGTTTTTGCCCATGAAGTGTTACCGCTTTCTTTACACGTATTGAAAGGAAAAAAAAAAAGAAAAAAACAAAAAAGAAAAAAACAGAAACCCTCATGGCTGTACTTGGCTTGCAGCATTTTTTTTTCTAAGTTCATGCCAGCATTAACAGATCTGTCAGAACAAAGCAAATGTGTCATATTGGCAGCTGTTACTTATGAGTACTTTTTCTTTATTGCATTTTGTTTTGTAATAATTGAGAAGCTTTTATGTGGAGCTCTGCATAAATGGTACTGAGTAGGAGGGTATGGGCATGCTTTCTATTATTCTGCCCCTCATGCATGTCTCCTTTTTTCGTCTTTCCAGAACCACACATTGAGCCAGCACGCACAGTGAGCCACTGGCACTACAGGACACCTCTCTGCAGAAGACTTGACGGTGGCACAGTGGGGAGGACCATTTGAACATTACATCCAATCAAAGTGTCATTTGCAACCCAGATGTAAAACTCTAATGATTTGGCCATGAGGCGCTGCTATTATAAGCAGCTGGAAATGAATATTAATGGAAGAGATTAAAAGTATTCCATGCTCAGTATTTTTTATTGTCCTGCTTCAGCTAGTGTACTTTAGAGCTTCTGCTTCTGACTGAATTTATAGTGTTAGATAAATCTGCTTTGATGCTGTTGCCCTTTGTTGCTTCTTGTATTATATTGATAGTTAAAGATTAGGTGTGATTTTTTTCTTTTTGGTTAACTGCTTTTTAATTGCAATTTTAGATAACTGTGCATTGTGATGTGATTGCTTGGCTATTGTCTGAATATTTCTTTTTAATTTTTTAATTAAAGACTAATGCTTTGATTGGATTTGCCAGTTCACCGGACAGTGATTAAAACTATGTAATGAATATAATCGGTTTCAGTGCAACTGGATGGTCTGCTTTATAAATGTGACTTAATCTGATTGCAATAACTAGTACAGTTCAATAAAGGGAATACCTGAGCTTGGCGTCAGCGGTTGTCTGTCTGTGGGTACACGCTGCGTCACCGCCGCTGGCTGGTGGCTGTAAATCACAAAGGGATGGCTCACCCGGCGCCGGAGAGCGTTCTCAGCCCCAGGAGGAAGGAAGATTGGGAGAAAGTGAAGGCCACCTTCCTGCGTCGTGCTCGCTCCTGGATGCAGCTCCCAGGCTCCCACGGTAGGTTGAGGTGAGGTAAGAACATCTTCTATTAATCTGAGGAGTTGCTAGCTTAACTGCTCTTACATCTTAAATACTCTTACCCAAGTCAACAAGAATGGAGAGGACTTGGTCTGTGGCTGCCTTGACCCCATCTCTGTGCTTCTTTCTTCCAATATGAAAAAAAAAGGAAAGCTTTCTGGATTGTATATATACCAATGTGCAAATATTGGATCAGGCCTCAGGGACCCCGGTAGGAGACTGTATATTTCAAGCACGTGGACTTCTAGGCCCACAGGTATTGTAGCTCTGTGTAACTGCCATACTTCTGACACCTGAAACTGCCATCATGCAGCCGAACAGAGCTAATTAGCAGGCTTTTCTTTTTTTTTTTCCTTTTTAAACTTATTATATGGTAATGAGGTAAGTTATCTCTCCAGTCAGAGAAACAGTCATTTTAAGGACCAGGGACACCTTTGGAAAGTTAGTGAGATGCAGTTCTCATGGTAGCTCCTGCTTGAATGAATCATAGTCTTCATGAAAGACGTTTAGCAGCTGTGACAGCTGCAGTGACGTGGTTACCCATTCCCACCTGTACAAGGCTCCCCGAGACTGTGCCACAGGAACACGCACAGTTAGAGCCTTTCAAAATCACCGTGCTGAACTGGAGCACAACTGGTTGTCATTGTGCTGCACCCAGGCTTGGAGTGTGTAAGTGATATTTTGTAAGAAAAATGCTTTCAAGGACGTGTAGGCAATGCCCAAATTAGTTCATTTTGGGAGTTTATTAACACGTGCGAGGGCACAGCTTGTTGATGCTGCAGACAATGTTTTCAATGTTGAGGTTCCTGCTGATGCTGACAGTCATGTTGCTCCTTCAAGGTGGCGGGACGTACTGCATGGAAGGGAAGGCTACTGGGAATAAGCCTGATAGGGTCATCCCTGCAGCAGGAAGCAACAGAGCAGGTGCAAGTCTTAGCTGGAGAAAAGTTTCAACTTTCTCAAAAAAAGTAAGTTTTATTCTGCCAGTTATTCGGCTGAAATAGCATTTTATGGACAGTCAGAAAGAATTTAGGGTCAAAATTTTGATCTGTGATAATTATATGAACTCTAATGCAATAAAATTAGGAATATTTTTTCTTAATTCCAAAGAGGGCATTCTTGTTTTATCTAGATAACTCTTAGCTCACTGTTTACGCAACAAAATCATTGCATGATCCATTTCTAGAAAAAGTGTTAGCTTTCTACCTGATTATTTCTCCATAAGCCATGGCACAGATGTTTATGGGCTGAAAAATTAGCTAATGAAATCACCAATTCATTATTCTCATTCATAATGTATGCATACTCCTAACTCACAGGCAACATTTTAAGCTGGGAATGGAGAAGTGTCGTGCAGTACAGGCTCGTAGACGTGCCCTTGCAAGGAAAGGTAGGTGGGAATGGACACCAGCTGCTCTTGGAACAGCTCCTGTCCCATCTTCTTCATGCTAAAAGCAAGGCAGCAGGTTCTCACTGAAAAGGGAGGCTCTTTGCCCAACCCTGGGTCTAGAATGATGCTTGACCACTTCTGTGCAGGCCTTTGGAAATGAAAAGGAAGGTGTAGGTTTCTGTCTTCAGGAGAAGGTTCTGTGTTGGGAATCCCAAGAGTGAACTGATGTTTCCACGCAACTCTGAGAGCCGCTTTAGCGATGAAGCACATGCCTTTGTCGCAGCATCTCCCTGCTGACTAGTTACAACTGGGTGTACATTCACCCTGCTGAGACGGGGAACTCCCCATGTGGGGTTCCTGTTTTGAGCTGCGTAATTTTCCCCACCTGCACTGGAAATGTGGGTGTGGGGTCGGGGGGGCAGGGTCCGTGCTCAGCCTGGCAGTGCCAAGCAGGCTGGTGTCTCAGCTGTGTCTTGCTTCTGCCTTGAACCCTGACCAGAGCGTGGGCAGGGGCGGAGGAAAGGAATAGTTTGGTTTCCCATCCTACCTTTAAAAGGTAGGGGACCCCACAGCACAAGAGTGAGAGCTGGGGTCCTGCTCCATCTTCTTCATCCCTTCTGGTGCATGTGCTTCATTCAGGAGCAGCACAAGTCAGGCCAGAGAGAGGGGCTGGACTGTGTCCTCAGGGCTGGGAAAAGACAGAGCCGTTGTCCTCTTCTGCAGGTGCTCTGGTATCTTAACAGTACTTGGGTAATAATTGAACACTAATGGACAAATGTTTTTTTTAAATTGCCTAAGCATATTTTAAGCCTTTGAATGGGCTGCCCAGGGAAGTGGTTGAGACACCATCCCTGGATGTATTTAAAAGACAGGTTGACACAGTGCTTAGTGATGTGGTTTAGTGATGGTTTTTATCAGAGTTACGTTGATGGTTGGACTAGATGATCTTAAAGGTCCCTTCCAACCTGGACAATTCTATGATTCTATGAACAGAAGTGCAGGGGCACTTGCCATGAATCTGCTGGGCTGCTTTGTGGTATTTTTGATACGACTGGGCCCATATGAAGCATCATTGTTATAATCACAGCACACACCACGGCAAGGGATGGTGCTGCCTTGGTATCTGCTTTCCCAGGGGCAAAGACACCCAGTTTGGGTGTGAGAGGAGAGCTGTCTGGTCTTCTGCTCCCGCCCTGGTGCTGCATCTGCAACCTGCCAGACACCTGCATCTCCCCATGTTGGTCCTTAGCCTACTCCAGGCCACAGCGCCGTTGTCTGACCCCTTTCTCCAAGGCCTGAACCTCCCCTGGAGGGGCTGTCACGGCCAGGGTGCTGAGTGGCAGAGCTCTGCAGCCCATCCTGGGGCCATGGTCTGGTGGTTCCTGGGCGACTGTTTCTTTCTGTGCCGCTTGTCCCACTTGGGAGCGGGAGCAGAGCATCCCTGCGCTGGTACAAAACACAGCTTTGCTGGCAGAGCTGCAGTCACACCAGGGAGTGCTTCGCCAGCGTAGTATATAGTTCCTGTATCTGTTAAAAGCTCCTAGGGAAAAAGGGAGCCTAACTGCAGGTGGAGAAAGATAATATCACAGCTTCTGGTACACGTTTGTGGTTTCGCCCCCTTTTTCTTAGTGGCCAAGAAGTGCTAGAGAAGGCGTTCGGAAAACAGTCAGAAATGTTGGCTCCAAAGGCACCTGTATTTCAACAGCTACAACACATTGAAAATGGGACAGGGAGCCTTTCAGTGGTCCCCATAATGTTTCCCTGCCTGTCTGTGTCAGTCGCAGCTCCGGTGCGGTGGTGTCGCAGACACGGGCTGGCACGGCTGTTCCAGGCATGGGATGTGGATGACTCACAGGTAAGTGCAAGCCAGAGCTGACAAAATTCTGGCTGAGGATGGGCTTTGGGCAAAACATCACCTTATGATCTGAGTGGCATTAGGACCAGTATAGACTTGGAAACCATAAAAAAAGTTTTAAATGTGTAAAGAAACGTTGTATAGACAATTTAGTATCTTCAAGTTTAGGCAAATCCTGACATATAAATTCGTATTAACAATGGATTAACAAAGGACTTGTATCCAAAAAACATTGAATATTTAGTCAAGAAGAAGTAACCAGTACCTACAGGTGATGTATTGTCTGTATAGTCAGTTTACACCTTGTTTTATTCAGTGCTTCTGTAGATACTTGTCTGATCTTCAGCAAGAGCTCACCACCTTTGGTCAGGTGCCTTAGAGTTCTGGAAAAAGCAAGTGCTTAGCCCATTGCCCGTGAAAGAAAGGGAGAGAAAAGGAGTTCGGACCATCTGAGGGAGGGAGTGAGTGGTCACTTTGTGCTGGAGCATCTTTGAGTGGGCTGGGGAAGGTCACCCCACTGAGCAGCAGCTCAGAGCGGGTATGAAAGGGAAAAATCAGAGGGGACTGGGGGCTGAGGGGGCTGTTGTCCCTCCAACAACATTCCTTTTGCTTTACTGAGGCTTAGCAGATACGGTGACAGTGGAGACTGCCCATCTTCAGGAGGTGTCCAAAGGAGAAACATTGAGCACCCCAAGAGAAAGACAAGCCAATTACTGCGTCACCTACAAGACTGCCAACAAAGTACGGTCTTCACCGCCCTAATAACGAGCTGCAGTTTAACCACGTGAGAGTGTCCTTTTCTGAGGGACAAAGGGAAGTGGGGCCCAGGTGAGCCCTAGTCTGGGGCAGCCCCTCACACGGGGGCCTGGCCCCTCATTCGGGCTGGGGGTGCCGGCTGGGAACGGGCCCTGCACCCCTTTGGCTCTGCCCGTCCTGCTGGCCACCTCTCCCCAAGCCGGCAGCGCTGCCCTGCTGCTCTCTGCGCCTGTCCCCTTCCTCCTGCCATCCCCGGCCATCTGTGTCCCCGCCACAGGCGGCCGCTCCGCCACGCTGGGCCGCTGACCCGGCCTCGCAGCCTCCCGCCGGCGGGGAGGACGGAGGGGGGACGCGGGGCCTGCTGGCCAGCGCTGAGGCCTGGCATGGGGGTGGAGAGCGAGGGCCCCGGGCGGGCATGGGGGAGCGCTGGGCTGTGGCCAGGAGCAGCGGGGTCTGAGCTCTGCTAAGACTCTCTCCTCCCCACGCCGCAGGGGAGCTGGGCGCCCGCCATGCCCCGGGCCCAGCCCCGCCGGGGCCCCTCAGCCTCCCCCATCCTTCCTGTGGCGCCTCGCTCGGCCTCCTCTCACAGCGGGGAGGCTGAGGCAATCCCGAGCCTCTTTGGGGCTTTTTTTTTATTATTTTTATTTTAAATCAAAACTTGTTGGTTTGTTTCCTGAAGTGGGTTAGTGTTCTGTTGGCTGAGAGAGCTGAGCTGCCCCGTGGGGTGGACCGGAGCCAGGGCAGGAGCCGGCTGGGGGTCTCGCCATCACCTCCCCCTGGCA